TATATATATATAAGTTTAATTTGTTAGTCAAATGCTAATTGCTTTTCATGAAATAAACTAAGCTTCAATAATAGAAGACAAAATTAATTATTGGATTTTTAAGCATTTATTTTAGTATGGCCAACTCAAACGGTCACTTAAGAGATTTTGCATTGTAGAGTATAGTTTTTTTATTATTATTGTTGTGATATTTACAAAGTCTCTGAATGATGAAGTCCGATTTGTTTGAAAATCGTATATTGTTTTGCAAAAGCATTCTATACTTTTACTTTTGCTGCAATATGTAGTATGTATACTCTGTACAGTGCATAGACTTTCTATGCATAAAATGTGATGAATGAAACGGAAGTAATATTAATTATTTAGAAGATTTAAATATTTTTCTCATTATTTGATTAGACTGCTACGAGTTAAGTTGGTTTTACACAAAATTGCATAAAATTGAAAATACAGTAGCTGTATTTTTTGTGAGATTTCTGGACACTGAATTAAACATGCAATGTAGTGAGATCATGTGACTTAATAGCAAATGCCAACATGCAGAAAGTGTTTGAGTCCAGCTAGGGATGTGTTCTGATTCCATTCTGCTTTTTTTCTCAACTATAATTTCTTGTCACCCTCCAAAATATGTATATATAAGAAATGTAAATAGCTTTTCTTTTTATGTCTAGCAGGCCAGATGTGAGAGAAATGCTGCTCATGGTATCGGTATGCCAGATGTTCTGCAGATGTTGTAATGCGTACGATTGTGTTTCGACAGGAGAAATGGAGCAGCAGGTCAGTGAGCTCATATCCGGTTTGGCTTCGACCCCTGTGGAAGAGAATCCGTATGAAGCTCTGTTTGAGGCGTCCTCGTGTGTCTCACTGGACAGCCTGGCCAGCGGAAAGTCATCGGACAGCGAAGCCGGGAAAGTGTGTGTGCGAGATACTGTATGTTATTTATTTCTTTATTTGTTTGTTTGTGTGTATGCATGTGTATGTTTATGTATTTGTTTGTTTGTTTGTGTGTATGTATGTGTGTATTTATTTGTTTGTTTGTGTGTATTCATGTGTGTGTTTATTTATTTATTTGTTTGTTTGTGTGTATGCATGTGTATGTTTATTTATTTATTTGTTTGTTTGTGTATGCGTGTGTGTTTATTTATTTATTTATTTGTGTATGCGTGTGTGTTTATTTATTTGTTTGTTTGTGTGTATGCGTGTGTGTTTATTTATTTGTTTGTTTGTGTGTATGC